CTGGAATGCTTAATAACAGCGGGGGAGGGGCTGGCGGGTTTCAATGTTAGGGGCGGACTTGGAGCAAAGACAACTGTGCTACCCACCCGTTTGAACCCTAAACCATGTTTACGGGACTAGAACACTCTTTCTGAAATTCCCCCTAAACCCCAAAGGCTGATTACCGAACAAAACTAATGACGTGGGACTTGGCCTAAATTAATGTACCTTTTGTACTGTTCCAACAAGGTATGGGCACCAGAATAATGATGAATTGAGGGAAATCCCCGCGTCTCAGCCCAAGTAGCTCCCGCCGCAGCGTCCGCTCGGAGACGCCGTCGGGCAAAGAGCCGACGAAGACTTTGCCTAAGCGAACCCCCTTGAAGGTTGAAAGTAGTATACATATGGGGGTTTCCCAAAATTAAGGGTACCTTTTGGGGGGTCCCAGAATAAGGACTATAGTATAGTATTTAGGGGTCTATATTGGGGTCCCCCTATTTTGGGAAAGTACCATAAAGTAGGCGTATGTACTATGTGGCTTTTTTAAGTACATACAGCCTTGGGTGTTGTATCAATAGAAATGGTCATCCCTCGGATCTCATTGACTTGAGAGTGACAGCGCAATAAGGGCGCAATAAGGGCTTTGGGGGGTTAGGGGTTTAAAGTTTAAGGCTGAGGGTTTGGGGTTTAATGAGACCTGAATAGACACCCGTGTGCTGTGTAGGGTTGAGGGTTCAGCGCCTCAGATTTCAAGTACTAATTGTCGGGCTGAGGCTTGTTGTTTGAACGTCAGAGTCACAAGAAGAAGAAACCAGCAACTGGAAAAGCAGAGCAAAAATGTTTCTTCTGAACAGCCTGTTGCATGGGCCGCTGGGAACGGGAGCTGCAGGACCGGGAGCTGCAGGACCGGGGCCTGCACCTACAGGGCCTAGGTTTAAGCGTCTACACTAAGTAATCTCTCCTCTCTGTTGGAAAACGCCCCCCACCTATTGTCAAAGTAGTTCCAAACATTATGCTTCTGTTGCTATGGTGGAAGAGATTGTAGGAGCAGCGCCAGGTTTGTGGAGAGAACGAATCATGTATGCGTTCAGCTGCAAAGGAGCTCTACTCAGCGGCTACACTCAGGCATCATGAACTTTGGCTGCCTACGCGCTCCCACCAGCCTCCAATTGGGGCGGCCCTTCTCATAGTGCTACCGTGGCTTCCTCCTCCTCCGCCACTCCCAAAGCTCCGGTGATTGCCAGAGCCGCCGGAGCCGCCGTGGCCGCCATAGCCGCCGTGGCCGCCATAGCCGCCGTAGTTGTTGTAAGCACTGCTATAACCACCGCTGTGGTAGCTGCTTTCCCGCATGCTACTATTGTAGCCGCCGCCCGGGGCGCCACCATAGACACCGCCGTAGGCAGCACCTGTCAAGGCATGCATGTGGTATCATGCTGTAACCCCTCTGGCAGGCGCTGGAGTTCGAAGTTTATTGTTTTGCACTTCGAAAGGTAGATACACTGGCCTCGACGTCCCTCTTTGAGCAGCAATCTGGGTGCTTCTCAACATTAAGGGCTCCTTATATCCCCTGATCTCCAGAATTTGACAAAAGAAGGGATCCAGAATGTTGGAAGCTCGGCCAGGAGGTGACTACAGACTTTTTTCCCATCATTACAGACTACAAGTCAAATCTTTGATGCATTACCAGCCCACCTCCGCCTCCATCAAGTGAGTCCTGGCCATACATGCCTTGGTGCTTGGCAATGGTCACCTCGCACGGTTTGTCCGCGCCTGGCGCAAGACAAATTGAATTCAGGTTCTATTTTTAAGAGATGTGGGCACAGCGTGGACATGCATATGCATCGCATATATTCATGTATGCCTACATCTATGTACATACGGCATGCATACACATATGTATGCAATTACACGCGCATTTTGTGTATACACACATGGGGAGTGAGTCACAACACAGGGATCATTTAGGGGGCTCGCCTCCGCAGCGAACCTGTAACCTTCAGCACGGAAAACGCGCGCTCAAACTCTCGCAGGCCACCGTAAGACTATAGAGCCAGGAAAAACATCAAGCTACAACCAGCTTGGAACCTACAGTTGCTAAGCGCCTGATATCAACCTGCTTCAGGTGAAGGGTTTGAACTACGTAAGATTACAGGAGCACATTATGTAATCTTCTTTGGGCTTTATTTTGACTTAAGATGCTACCAGGTGTGCCTGGAAGCACAAGCACACGGTCGCAGCTGGCCTGCCAAGCGATCACACTCTGAACCCTTGGGGTTCCGGATGGTACCCCATACCGGCATAGTAGACATTTTTCACCACTTCCAAAACATTTAAACCAAGCCAATTTGGGGTTTGAGGCTCTTCGCGAAAGGCGCAAAATCGCACACGAACCAGTCTTGCTTACATAATCAAAGAAAGGTGACAAACATTTTGCGCACGATGTTGGATCTCCAAAAATGCCGACGCGCAAACAATCTATGCCTTTAGTCACGTTGCAACAAAGAGCGACAGGCCTTTCACGACTACATCTAGGCCCTGGTCCAGAAAGCCTTGTTCCCGATTCACTGCAGTAAGGTTGAAGGGATTCCTCTCGTACTTACCTTACTCTTTTTCGTTGTGGTTCGCACATGTGGCAGTACCAAAAACAAAACGAACCCCAGCGAGAAACTCTGAGAAAATGCGCATTTTCCTGAGCGCGGGCTGTCGAGCACGTGAAAGTTGGCCCAAATCCCACGACGTTTTCTGTGCGTTTCGACTCCGTTTTCGCACGCGCGAAATTGTCTGAAATCATGCTTAACCTACAGAACATGGATATTTGCCCACAAAAATAAAGCGTCAAAGATTGCACGTGATTGTGGACATTCATGGCCGTATTTGAGAGAATGTCTTCTTTGCGTTTGCCTGTTTTTCCCGGGTAGGCAAACATGGACTATAGGTAAGAATGTCTACTTTTTTGTTGTCTGGTTTTTGTTGTTGTTTTGGCTTCTCGGTTGTTGTTTTTTCTGATGTTTGGGCGGGTGCGTGCTTTTTGCCTCCGCCCAAAGAACAAAAAACAACACGCCCCCGCCTAAACAGCAAAACAAAACACGCCCCGCCCAAGCAGCAAAAAAAACAAACAAACACAACACGCCTCTCCACACCCTCCCACCCAAACAGCAAAACAAAAACACACGCCCTCTCACCCGCCCAAACACCCAAAAATGATCAAAAAAAAACGGTGACGGGAGTTCACTCACTTACCGGTCTGCCTGGCTCGGCTTTAAGGAGCCCAACAACAAAAGACCATACAGCAAAAAAAACAAGAGTGGGACTATAGAGTATGTTCCACATAAGGCTCTTGGGACCATGCTCGATGTTACAATCTTGTTCAAACATTCGTACCATACGTGTCAGCCAAGTTCCCAACTACAAACAGGGTCTAGCCTCAAACATAACCAAAGATGCATATGAATTCCATGGACCTCCAGGGTGGAACACAGAAAGCCCTAAACATTAAACCCTAAACCTCTCAACCCTAGAGTTTGACGTGTTTGCGTCCTCCCTGCGGGCCTTTGCAGTCCTAGCCTCCTCAGAGCTTGAGAAGGTGACAAAGCCCCATTTGCCTTAGCACTCGCAGACTCGGGTTCGTCAGCTGATGTGCATAGCCAGGCAGGCCAGCCGCTCCTTTAGCCCGGCCAATCCACCACTGAATAAAACCCCTAAAACCCTAAACAACCTACTTGCAGATGCTCGACCCAGAAGGTACTCACATCTTCTCCATGCAATGAACCAAGCAGACTCCATGTGCTGCTGCACGTTTGTGGGCAAGAGGCGGCCAGGATCGCATCCAGGTTTCAGGAAGACATCCGTGACAACGCCGTAGTTGGAAAACTCATCCATGAGGATGTTCCTGAAAATTCAGGCAAGGGCTTGCTTGAGATCATGGGCCCCTTGTAGAGCATTGCGAGAATCAAGACCAAAAGGTTCTGGGGGCGAGACAATGGTAGTTTCCATATTAATTCCCATCATCCCAATATAAACCCTTTATGACCCCAATATAACCCCAACATAAGCCGAACAAACCCAATAACCCTAAACCCCATTAACCCTACATTGGGTGCATCTCTGCAATCATTGCGGCTCTCAGCTCATTGGGATTGGGCTGAAGTGCTACGGAGGCGCTCATCGATGGAGTCGGGCAAGGTGCCGACGAAAACCTGTTAGTTCTTCCCTAAACCCTAGACCCCAAATAGTAGTTTCATGTAGTTTCCATCTACTTTTCCATTATCCCAATATATATACATATATATACATATGTGTACATGTATATCCTGTCAGTTCTCCTACTACTTCAGCTCATATCAATTTACCAGACTTGAGTCCGTCAGAGCGCTAGAAATCCACAATCCGCTTTCAGGGTCGAGCCTGGCAAAGTCTTAATACAAGCTCGATACATTAGGTGGACCCCCCACCCAGTAATAGTAACTATAGGGGATAATAGGGATTATATTAGGGTCCTCTTATATTCCTATTATACCACTATTACAGGGCGGGGGGTCCTCCTAATCGATACATGACGTCAACTGGATTGCTGCTAAGAAGCTTAAATTACCTGATCATAATACAACTATGTAGTAAATAGTGAGGTGTCCTTATGATAGAAACTTAGCTTAAGTTCCGTAACCGCAACCCACTCAAAGATGCAACTGTCCTAGCCTTTCTCCCTCCCGTCCCTTGTGAAACTGGGCCCGAGTTGCGTAGATACACAAGTGTTTCTACAAAACACACAGCTTCCTGAACCCCTGCTTACATCGGTCTTGCGAGATCATGCGGGAATCCAGGCTACGACTCCCGCCTTCTTTGGGCCCGTGTCTATTATCGGCATCCTTGTCGGTGGTTGCGACTGCAAGGCACCAAAGCCGTACATGCCCTGGCGTCAGCAATCTTCAACAAGTCAGTGCACAGCCTAGGGCCTAGATGCAAGACACATAGCAGCTGAGGTTTCATGCTTCTTCGCCTCGAATTAACGACTTGCGCTTCATTTATGCGTGAAAAGATATTGCTAAAACCCACGACGTTCTGGCCTGGTTCCGCGCCAGCGTGACCTGACAACGACTCCACTTCAGGCTCCTATACCTCCCTAAACCGCGCATGCTCAGCCCGGCCTCACATGGTCGGCTGGATCCCTCCATGTGTAGCTTGCCATTAGTAGCCTCCTGGCAAACTGCAGCCATGTTTTCTCATTGTGTTGCAGAAACACCCCCCTCCCCGCCCCCAAACTCATACGGAATTCTGGGCGGGGCCGTGCAAACTCGCGGCTAACTAGCAGATTTTTCAACGCAGGCTTCATGACTTTATGGTGCACATGTACACTCCCCCAAGCCATCATGAAATCCAAACAGAAACGGGCCCTACGCGAAGAATGCAGTTCCTGAAAAAGGTGTGAGATGGGATTCCACGTTAAAGTGTGGGAATGGGCATGCTCTCATAAGGAAGTAGCTTGCTCCTGGGCTTGCGCGGCGTCGCTGGGTGAATCAAAGGTCACAAACGCCCACTGGCGGCCCGGTTCACACCCAGGCTTGATGAAGAGGTCCTGGCCAAGTAGTGATAGTAGTAATCTGCGCCTAGTCGCAGCAATGATGGAGGCGCAAGTAGTACTGCTGGGAATACAGAAGTAGTAGTAGCAGTGGTAGTAGTAGTAGCAGCAGCAGTAGTAGTAGTAGTAGTAATCACAGCTACTCACAACAGCTGGCTTGTCAGCTGTCCTCTATGGAGCCATACTTTGAGAATTCGATTCTCAACTCCTGCTCCTGGGGTCAAGGCAGAGCCACTATACCCAAGCTTCCTGGAGGTTAGTAGGGAATGAAGGAGTACATTACATAGGGATTATATAGGGATTCATATGCCCTGGGCCCTTATTCCCTACTAAGCCCCGGTAAGCAAGTCAACTCGTAAAGCACATCCGAGATGTCAGCACTCCTGGATCCCATCTGGAAGAGACCCCACAAAGATCTTCCTCGGAGCCTCGGATTCAGAATCAAGGCCTTCCCGCTACTCCTACAATTTGAGCTATGCTTTTTGCAGCCCATGCAACTGCAGGGCTTACCTCGACGGCTGCGGGGTTGCCTGCCCACTTCATATGAAGTGTGCAGGCGAAATGGGTAAACAGAACGGAGCAGGAGGAGCGGCTTCAGCCATAGTAGTCAAGAGTAACCGTGACCGCAGGAATCAACCTAGCCATAGCCATAGCAGAGCAGAGCAGCAGCAGCTGCAGCAGCAACACTACCGGTAACGAGCAGCATGAGCAGCATTGGCGGAGCTGCAGTTGCTGTTGCTGCAATTGCTGCTGCAATTGCTGCTGCTGCTGCTGCTGCTGCTGCTGCTGCTGCTGCTGCTGCTAGTGTTGCCATTGCTGCTGCTGTTACTGTTTGTGTTGCTGTTGGTGCTGTTGGTGCTGTTGGTGGCGTCGGTGGCGTCGGTGGTGTGGCGGTATTGGTGTTGGTGGTATTGGTGTTGGTGGTATTGGTGTTGGTGGTATTGGTGTTGGTGGTGTTGGTGGTGTTGGTGTTGGTGGTGGTGGTGGTGTTGGTGTTGGTGGTGTTGGTGGTGTTGGTGGTGGTGGTGGTG